CATCGAGCCTTACGTAAAATCTTTTTGTTGAAGAAAAGCATGGCTTTACATCGCCTATGTACTTTTGAGGAAGTTCATAAGAAAGTCTGTACAATTCGAAATACCAACGACAGTCTTTCCCTTTTTGTTTGATTTTCTGAAATGTTTACTGATAGTATGACTAGGTTGAATTCGACCTAAAAAGTGAGTGTGGTTGTGCCTCAGCTAAATTTAGCCTACCGATGCATCATTTTTCTAGGATTCACTCATCCCATCATTCGATTCTACTTTTGTCTGCTTTTGTTCACTAAAGTGCGTGTAATTAATCCAACCTCCTGTCGCTACCTGCGGTGTGAATTGATGCCGTTGCTTTGTTGGATGTTGATAAAACAAGGAAGACTTTACTTCTTTATTTCGTGCTGTTGTACTCTCTGCTCCAAGTGATTTTTCAAGGTCACTAGCTGATCGTGGCATCCTCAATGCCAGGCTAACAAAAGTACCGCTGATTTCATCTACCCCTTCCACTTCTTTGTCATCGTGACGCGGTCTAAGCTCCTGTGTAGGTAATGCTTAGATTTCTATGAGAAGATATAACATTGTGTCGTTCTACTTGCTGGATTTGGAATAGTTGTCGAGCAGTTGTTGGAGTTTTCACGGCCATTCTTTTTCAAAATGCTCGTACATTTGGTTCACTGCAGAGGTTGCCTTCTGGAAACACTTCCTTAAAGCACTTTCAGAAAGCGGCCACTAAGCAATAAACAAAAGACATCAAGTGTACTCTTTTACATGAAACTCTTTCAGTCCTTACACAGCATTAAATTCTCGGAGTAGCTTAGCTGATAGCTAAAACGTCACGAGCAGAACATTAGATTACCAGCTTGGGTGGGAAACCACTGGTTGTACAAATACCACTTTATCCAGTCTTATGGGACACTGAGTTACATTTTGTCTACCGCCTTGTTTGCCTTAGGCCTGCGTAGCTAATCGTCCGCAGCACCTGGAGAACCTGATAGCCTACGGGGCGGACCTGAATGCGCGGACGCTGCGAGGTCTGACTCCGTTGCACCTGTGCGTACGCCACGAGGCAAACGCATGCCTGAGCCTGCTGCTGCTGCGAGGCGCCGACACCAGACAGGTGAACGACGACAGCCAGACGCCGCTGGAGTACGCCCTCCTTACCAATCGCAATGAACAGGCCACCATTCTGCAGACCTTTAATCCCGCTGACGTTGGTAAGATGGAGGAAGAAGAGAGCGTGTTTGTGTACTTATTCCTTTCATCCATCCTGTATCCCTCTATATCGTAAACATCCTTCCCGTATCTATCCATCTTTTAGGCTTTCATATATCCTGTATTGGGCCATCCATTCATCCATCTCGCATCTATCCATCCGTTAGTCCATCACTCACATATCCTGAATTCATGCGCCTTTTATTCAAACATCATACTAGTCCTTCCAAACGTCTTCCAATCACCCTTGCACTTAACCGTCCGCCAGTTTTCACTCATGCGTCATTTTATTCATCCTTCTGTCATTCATTTCTGAATTTTCACAGCAAGTCTCCGGGCTGATCAGTATAACTTTCCATTCAAATTTCATTTTTATTTTCTTTTTACAGTTTTGCCTGCGTTGGGTCACCGCATTCATTTGCCTATGCACCGCTTCACTCAAAAAAAATCAGTCTTTATCCAGTTTGGCTACCTATCCGTCCTTGATTGAGGTATTTACCTAAGGGCACATCTTGGCCCCATCCATCAATATTTGGGTGTGTAAAAATCCTCTAGGAAATTGTTCATTTAGTCACTTTGGATGCAGCCACCCCACATCTTCTGAGTCACTCATTCCCTTCTACGACATCCACCCCCTACATCCATCAAACTCTCCGATCAGCTTCTTTACTCGTTCTTTCATTTATACGTCATTGTACCATTCATTTCAGATCCATTTGTTTCTTACCAGACCATTTGTCGCCTCGGACTAATTTCCTTTCCTCCTGAATTTGCCATTTCTTCCCAGGTTTATCCATCTTCTAGAACATGGCCTGATGGTTCGCCTATCCTAAATCTGTCCATCTCATTACAATCTGGACGTCAATAAAGGGCCTGAGAGCTACACCATTAGCTGTACTTGCATTTTTTGTTGGTAATTGAGTGAAATCTGGTGCTTCTGCTAGGTCGGCTACACCCATTCTTCAATGATGTTTTGTTATTCCTCTACCCTCATCAGTTGCCATCAAAGAGACTCCAAGTTACAACACCTCACGTCGGCCTACAGTGAATGGCCCGCGAGGCGCTGTTGTCTACACAATGTTACACCGACCGTCAACCTCCTGCAGCATCTCCGATAACTTGAGCCTTTGCCATGGCGTCCCCTCGCCAGCCGAAAGCCTCTTCTCTGCCGACCAGACCTCCGTGACCAGCTTCTCCGCTGCTTCCACTGCATCTGCTACTCTTCTCGAGTCCAGTCGTTCCATGCAGAATATCCACCGATATGCGAACGAGGATGCGGCGTCAAATCCGGTGAAACAGTTACAACAGCTTGTTGAAGCACCGCAGACAAAGCGATCAAACACGTACAATGGTAGGTCACTCTTCTCTTCCACTTTACTGTCGATTATTTTCTTTGGCTAGCACTGGCCTAGTTGTTTTGGCAGTCCTGGATTAATTTGTCTATTTGCGCAGCTTTAGAGCCATCTGATATCCACCATCTTCATCTATTCGTCCACCTAGTCCCTATTTACTGCATTCATGGATTGTGCATAGGTTTTAGGTTAATTCTTTACCTAAAAATTGATTACTGTTTCATTGAATTTCTCATAATTAGTCAAAAACTCGTTTTTTTACAATAAAAGAAGTTTTTCTGATGGTAGTTCCATTTTCTACCAAATTTTCTACTCGTTAAGTGTACAAACTGTTAAAAAGCTGTACAGCTTCCAAAGAACTTCGACTGAAGGAGTTTATTGGGGGCTGTAGTAGCCCTCAGATGTATGGAATGTAGTACTGGAACAAAGACATTGGATTATAAACTGTAAGATGAAATGCTTACTCTGGAGGGCTTAAACACATTCTTGTTGCCTACTTTCACACTTCACTAAAGTAACCTATCATGGAGGATCTGCTCTAACTGATCATATAAACAAACCCTACCTTACCAGGGGGCTTTGTTGTGATTTCACATGAGGCACACCAAACCCCTCAGAGTTCCAGGTCACAATTTAGTCATTTTTTTTGCTCATCTTTAGTAGGCGTTGGTACTCACACCTATATCTTAATAGAGAGGTAACACAGTGTCAGCTCTCTACCATAGTTACACGCCCTTCCATCTTGCCTCATGCGTATGAAGTGATGAGTTGGCCTATTTGCAGTGTGCATGATGGGAAGACTAAATGTTTTTTTCAGAGAGCGATTTGAAGTTTCTGTGTTAATTGAAGAACATCAATCCGATCGACTTATGACCAAATGGTAGTGTCTTGTATCTTAAAAACATCTTTTAATTGTTTCGTTGCTACAGGCAGAGCATAATTCCGATTAACTTGACAGGAACAAAGTCATGTGTGTCCTCTCCCTCTTAACTCGTTTACTAGAAGGCTATGTTAGCCTTTCACCACATAGCTTAATCCAAGATGGAAAGGGGGAGGGAGGGCAAGGCCTCTAGCACTTCATGCTAGTGACACAGAACTTGCCTCCAGATAAAGGCGGATTTAGAGCTGCTGCTTGATAGGTTACCCTAACTGGGAACTCGTCCGAACGGCATGGGTGCTTGTGCTGTTGCCACCCTCACTTCGATGACGGATTTGTCTCCCACAATCCATAACTTTGACATCAGATTGTCAAGTGTTATATACGGTGTCAAAGGTATGTCTTACAGTAGCATTCCACCCTCATTGGTGTGCCTAATGAAATAATAAAGGTATTTGCAAAATGAACTAGAAGCACTCAGCTCAACCCCTTTTCAAGTGATTAAGAAGTTGTGATGAATGAAAGCTTCCAGTCTAACGTAGCAAAGTAACATTTTGGAAAAAGTTTTGAGTACAGAGTGGTAAATTTAAAAGTCTAGAAAGCGTGAAATAACCTGGTAACTTGTGATTTTAGTGTTGTATCTTTTAGGCACCTACACTGACCATCCATAGGCGCATTTTTGAATTCGTTTTGAGAAAAACTTATACATGTTTTGCGCATTTTAAGATCCAAAACGCAAGACTTCGGTTCCGATCGGAACATGCATCCCATCGTCGTGAGTCTGTGCTTTTATTCTTTGCCCAAAGCGTACCTTATAACACGCCTAACTAGTTTTTTTGGAAGACTCTTAAGATACTACTAATATTGACTGAGTGATGGATGTAGGGTACTGCAAGTCAAGAAATCCTATCGCCTTTAGAGGCGCCAAATCGTCTATCTGCTAACATTCTTTTGTTTTAGTGAAATACGAGAAGAAAAGACGTACACCCGCTTTGTTGGCTTGCGCAAAAGTCATGAGGGCTTTGGCTTCACGCTGAATGGAGTACCTCGTAAGTCCCTTTCCTATCATTAACATCAAGTAGCCTTTAATTGACTGTGGTCGGTGCGAGCTGATGGCACTGCTACTGAACTAAATTCAGTAAAAATTGTGACTTCTGCAGCAAATAAACTGTGATTTATTTCAGACGTCTAGTCGATGTCTATTTCATGCGGCACAATACAACTAAGTCCAAGAGTTACTTTGTATGCCTATAACATAGCTATCTACAGAAAATGGGCATTTTAATGCTGGAAGATAGGAGGAATTAAAAGTCCAAAAGCTTGCTTTAGGCAAAGACGCTTAAAAAGCTTTTGAAATTTTGTATTAGTCAGTAATTATTTTGAGCTACCGAAAACGCCTAATTATAAATTAAAAGAGTCACATTGTTCTCCAATCAACATCGCAGGCATTAAAATCATCTAAGATATCCCCTTCTGACCGTTCCTTCTTCATGATCAACAAAGCTTCCTGTTGCTGATTACCGTGCCGATATTTTTAGAACTGCTAGATGGATTTAAATGAGGTATTGTTTTCGCCATCAACTCCCTATTTACGCATTGCCTCTTTACGGTCAAAAAGCTTTGCTCAATTGCTTTTCAAATAGCAAAGAGTTCTTGCACTTTCACTGTCCCAAGTAGCCTTTCAAGGACTTTTTTGCTACTTGGAGTAATTTAAATATACAGACTTCTGGGGACTTGCAAATGCCCATTACGTTACTGACTATTGTTATTAATTATTTAAAATATGTGTAACTATTAAAGGAATTGGAAAATGAGTAATGGCCTCCTCTGATTGGTCAGCTATTTTTTGAACTTGTCTCAACCACTTGCCGCTTACATGGCAGCCCCCATTGGCTCAATACGTCAGTCTAATGCTGTTTGGAAATAAGAGTTTCTTCTCGATAATTGCTTCAAGTATTTCTTATATGCAAATTTTTAAATTTATCTTATATTGTAGTAGGCCCACTATCCTCACTCACACGCAAATTGATTGTGAAGTAATTTATTGGATAACTAACTATTTAAAGCTGCATGTCAGCTTTAAAAACTATTTCGCCTTGTCATTTTATGCTTGGTAGTCCGACGGTTACTCAATCATGACCTTACTACCACAAAGCACATGAGTCACGGCCCCCTCCGAAACCCTGGCTCCTGATTGGCTAATTGAGTGAGACAACCACCGATTGACAGAGCGCTGCTTTCTCTTACCTTAAATAGGAAAGGCCCTTCAACGACACGGTCGGCAACCCCTGCCAAACACGCCTTCCAATCAGTACTTCTCATCTGTGGTTCCAGGCGGTCCCGCTGATCGTGCAGGGATCAAGGAGGGTGACTACGTCCTTGAGGTGCGTTAATGTTGGCAACAGCTCCAGCCCGCATCACCTCCTTACTATTAAGCTCTGGTTCAGAATGGGCAATAGAATTGCACTGCTTTGCTCTTACAACCCATTTCCTTGATGCTGCATGTCACGGGATCCGTCAGTAATAACGGAGTAAGATTCTGGAGCGATTTAACAGACCGGGACATTGTACTTGTTGCGTGCACTGAAAAAGAGATAGAACTGTCACTACTCCCCACTCCATGCATTTATTTTACCCATACCGTCCTCAAAACGTTCGTCTCCACGGTATTTGCGTAGATTCGACCGCTGTAACGCTAATATTTCATTAACCTAAATACCTATGCTTTATTACCATCTCCTTTTGCAGGATCTATTGACAACATCTTAGGAGAAAAGTATGCTTATCCTCAGATTAAAAACTTCTACTTATACCTGCTTGTAAGTTCAACCGAGATGGCTAGCTATCATATGCTGTTAAACAGTACATGCTACGTATCGAAGGCTTAAGGTTCGGGAGTAAAAATCGGGAGGTCACACAGACGCGATACTGGTGGCGACGGTGCTGAGAGCAGCTGCCAGTTCCGCAACCCTGCTTTTGTGGGTGCATCTGTTAGTGACTCTGTCAACATGGTTGTCGAAGCCATGGTGGTGGAGGGCACCATGGGGCCAAACGTTGAGGTGTGTCATAACCACGAGCGTTTCCGACCATCAACTTCTGGCTCATATTATCCACGACATAAGTTGTGGAGGGATTAACCTGGTATATTCTCCCCAGCCTACTCCTGCATTAAGTGAGTCCATGTTGTGACACGAAAGTAGAGTTCAGTGAGGTGATTTTATCGTTCTCCGCTCAATTGCATTGACATATTTTGTGGGTTATAGATTGATGGTCAGGACGTGACGGACGCCTGTCACGAGGACGCCGTGGAATGCATCCGAAAGTGCGGCGATTCGCTCATCCTTCGAGTGATGACGGTGTACAGGGGCTCCACTTTGCGCCATTTATGCGAACGCCCAGGTTCGCTACTTGGAGTTGTTGGGGCTTTGGAGTTATCCTCTCCTGTCGACTGACGTGTATTGAGCGCCAAATTGGTGGTGCTATTTAAGCCTGCATCCAAAGCAGTCTTTAACTACCTTGCACATGTTTCAACTAGAAGCTTATGTAATTTTCCATAAGCTTCGTTTCTTTCTCTACAGAAATGCCCCAAACCTCTCGTACTTATCGAAGACGGAGACGGAGTGACATCATCGGCGGGAGTAGCAGCAGCACTAGCAGCAATAGCTTTAACAGCGACAGCGGATTCGCCGCACACACCTCCTCCTCCACCTCCACCACCATCTACAAAAAGAAATTACCGGTGTCGCGAGACGGCGAACAAAGGTGGCGGGAGCCAGTGGGGTCGGAGGTGCGATCACGGAGTCGAGAGCGAGGTACCTACAATCCAGAAGTGCGTGTGCAGTCCTACAGCTTCGGCAAAGAGGAGATCCATCTCCACGCCACCTCCCCAGCCGCACATTCTAAGGAGAGGGTGTTTGTCTTCGAAAAGATCGATGGAAAGGTAAGCTGACATTGGTGATAGTAAATGAAGTGAATTCATCGGCGAGCTGATGTAGGCGCAACAATTCCGTCCAAGTTGATGACATGGATCTCAGCGAATCAAAAGGCAAATGGAAGTCGTTTCAGAAAAGTAAATTTGGGTAACATTACCTTAGTATTCCGATATTTGAGCAGAAATTTTTATGTTGAACATTCAGACTCGAGCTGTACCCGTGGAGGACTCCAGAGAGCAAAAAAGTGATCTACGAAATGGAAGTGGGGCGAGATTTGCAAGTGAGTTGTGGCATTATCTCCTACACCTAGACCTGGCAAGTAGGTAAGCAGTGACCTCCGTTGCTAGATAAGCCCTGTTTAATTAAGTTCTTCAAGAGGTTTTCATCACCTCTCAGTGAGACTGTCTGTGCCTTCTCATTAAGGCAACCGAAGTGCATCTCCATCCGGGGCACAGAGGAGACGAAGTCCCAGTTCAGTAAGTTGATGAAAAAAACTACTTCCTACTAATGGACTTTTTCCTGTTTTAATCCAACCTGAAGTGATCGAAAAGGTTCAACAAATCGCAATCTTTTACTCCAAAAATAAGCTCACATTAAAATCCCTTGAGAAGTGACTAAGGGTCTAATTTATCTTCCATCTATTTCAAAAAAAGATTCCCAAGTTTACGGGTTCTCAGATAAGATGCAAATCAAATCCAGGTTTTCTATTCGTGAGAATGTTCTCTTACACCCCAGACATGCTACCAATTTTATGAGGTGTAAAGAGGAAACAAAAGCAAAGCCAGGCACAACTTGACATCTAATTGAGAGGATTCATTATAAAAACGCATCTTTTCACAATCACTACTTTGTGTGTACTTTCAGAGTTCAGACGCAGGGTCTGGTCATCTCAGCCACGCCCATTCGATGATGGTTGTCGATTGCTTCGATGACAGCGGTGAAGCCCCCACAACAGTTTGCTCCACTAACAGGGACACGACTTACAAGAACTCCCTTCCAAGGCAAGTCATGCAGCCATTTCGGAGTAGTCTCTCCGTCGGTTGCCTTCAGCGCATTAACCCTAGTCGTGGCATTGGTAATGATGATGAGGAAGAGGACGATAACGATGATGGCGAAAATAATAGAAGTGGCGGCACCACTGCCATACAAAGGTATGCCGCAAGTAAAGGGCCAATAAAAAGTGAACACTCCCGAAGTCTGCCCCGATTGGGTAGGTGAATTTTCAGTTCCTTCTAACAGAACTTGCAATAAACTTGTGGGATTGTAAGAGCAGGCTTTAGAAAGCAAAAACTTTACTTATTTTTACCTACACCTACACTCTAGTACTATGAAGATCAAAGGAAAAGGTTCTAATTTAGCCTTCCATTTTTTTCAGAGCTATTGTAGTCTGTCCCATCTCCTACCCCCTTCGTGCCACCATCTTCTACCCTGCTATTACTATTATTATTCCAATTTCGCCCTCCACTACCAGATCTCTCGGCTGTGAGCAAATCGAATTTGTCTCTGCCTTCCCCATGCAAATATATCATCACCACGACCGGCCTGAAGAGGCCCTGTATGATTCAGCATACATCCCACCTTCACCACTGTTGATGTTATTTCTCAAGCCAATAAGGGTCGCCTCATTTACACTACACGTCTCTATATTTTATGTCCTGGGTTTGTTGGAAAAAAATGTGGGTAGGCAGTCATGTTAGTCAAGGCTTAGCGGGGAAAAGATATCTAAGTAAGCTAAAGACCTGTTTAAAACAGCCACTCACAAAGCATGAAAAGAATCTCAAGTAAGCAGAAAGCATGACGACTGCCGCCATTGCTAGATCATTTAGTATACCTAAGTCTGCAAATGACATCTCTCCACAGACCTAAAATCCGTAAGCGAGTGCTGATTATGATTTAAGACAAAAACCAGTTCTAAGAATCATTGACAAGAATCCTATCAAAGCTAAAAAAAAGTATGACGGGAACAGAGGTTTAACTGACTAAAATTTGTAACAAGAATAGCAGAACCAAGTAACGTTTGTCTTGAGTATCCAAAGAAAAAAACTAGATACAAATTTCTAATACGGATGGAGGCGTTCATCTTCTTGTGCCGCATGATGCTTGAGCGCAATTATATCAATACCGTAAATAATTGGTGAATGGTACAACTGCATGTGCCATAGCTGTTCACCGAATTTAACCTTGGAAGCATGCGAATACAGAAAGCAACTTACCTTTACACCATAAAAGCATCCCCTATCCATTTCAGACACCAGTTCAAGTAGCTCTATATCGCCTGGTACTTGACCAAGCACACTTTGCATGTATTCTTCCACCGGAGGCAGGAGTCTCTTCTTTTCTTCCTCTGTTGGAGGCGTCGGACTAGGATGGAGCAAGTACATAACCCTCGAGTTTACTAAAGGTCCAAGAATGCAAGTCTACGTGATGCAGTCAAACAAATCAAACACTTAAGCGGGAGTTAGCAAATGGTCATCTAGCTAGAGTTTTGTTGACACATATTGCAAATTAAGAATAAAATATTTTGACCTAGTGCTGTTTCGCTACGTTTTCGAGCTAGCACGCAAAATTATTTGGGTTCTTAAAATAAGCTTAAGGAGTTGATCTTGTGCTCTTAGCAAGTTAGAAACTTGTACAATGCGTGCAATTGTTCTTGTTTTTACTTTCAATTTGTGCAAAAAATACCCCATTTCTAAGCGTAATCATAGAACCCATCAATTTTTTGGGATAATAATGCCAAAAAGAAGCGGATATCGCAATATGCGTTAACGACTTTATAGGTAGAAGGCTTTGAAGCATCTAGCAACGTACTTAACGTCTCCTTAATTTGACTAATTTACCAAATACTTGTGATGTTTTCGACCATACGTTTTAGGCGGCATGTGGTCAGCCAACTCCAACCAATTGACCGAGCGGACCCCATCAATCCTTGAGAGGAAATTGACATTGGTCCTTATTTAAGCTTTGATAACCTGTCGACTTTCATCACACATCTTTTATGTCTACTCTTCCCGTTTCATAGGTGTGAAACCGTAGGGGGAAGAAGGAAGCACGGGGTCTGTTAAAGATGCTATGTACACCGTTCTGGGGCGGTTCAACAGTCAGTAATTTTCAGGAGGTTGAGTTCCTAATTATTTTTTCCTTAAAGACGCAACTCGAAATGGGTTGGTTCATTGCACTGCAATCACCACAGTGTTGATTCCGACGCTCTATTTTTTTGCACTCATGCAAAGGAAAGAATTTTACACTAAATAACGAGTACGCGTTTCTCTAATACCCGGTAGTGACTCTTGACTTCACAAATCATCCAAGCTTATTGCAGTTTTTATTATTTCCTGGGCAGCTTTGGTACGGATGACCTCCCAGTACGGTTCTAGTTATGCTGGGATAGCCAGCTCTACTTCACCCCCAATTCTGATGTTCCCATTTTTAAGGTGCTACTTTTGAACACCTAAAGAGGTGAAAATCACTCACAGCAGTTTTGAGATTATTAGAGAGATGGGGCTACAACACCCATCCATGGTGACGGAATGTCACCATAGTGCTTTGACCACTATGAGTTCATGGCATTGTCTTGAAGAAACAGAAGGTTTTTATGATGCATTTGCTACCGATTTTCCTGCACGTAGCGCATGATATTGTAAATAGTTGCACTTCGCAATGAAAGTTTTTAGTGAAAATCACCACATGTTCCCTAGGAGATGTATAACATAATGGGGAGTCAGTAGGCCTCCACTGCCTTGGTGATCTTCTTGATTTCGAAAATCGCTTGTCTTTTCAAACAAAAATCCGGCCGCATAAATTCGAGCATCCCTTATCAAATCTCTTCTCTAAATCAATGTGGAAGGCGAATATTCCGTTCCTGTCAAAAGCATTAGTTAATCTTGAAATCAGCGTGCCCTAAATGTTTAAAATAGCTGAACTTCGCAAATTTTTTGTGTCTACTCTTTCTACAGAGGGAGAAACTTCATCTACTGTGCCAGTTCGTCACACATCAGGACTATGAGGTGCATCTTTGTTTATGGGAATGACCGCCAAGTCTCAAGGGCAAAAACCAACCCCACCGTGACTGTCACCGGCAATGTCACTTTTCACCCTTGAAAGATTTGCGCCCCTCAAATGCCTCACCAAGGCTGGGTTTACATGAAGTCTTACGTAGGCCCGAATATCCGCTTGTCCTACGGCTCTACTGAGAGGAAGTTGCATAAGGATCTGCAAAAGCACCACGACGACTAAATCTAAGAGGATCAATTGGATTGGGTATTATGAAATCATGCATTAGGACCAGTCGCCATAGCAACTTGGGGAGACTTGTGGCCGTGGATGAATAAGTTGGTTCCTCTGCTGCATAAATTGAAAAAGCCTACACAAAGCACCCTCAAACCGGCGTTTGGAGTGGGCGTGGTCTGCGCCTGGGCTGTAGTTTGACCACCGCTGTCACGAAGTGGATCGACAGTGAAACAGTTGGAGGTTGTCCCATGACCTGGAATGCTTTGCATGACACGGCTTCGCCGAACGGTTCGTGTGGAATGAAAGTGACCCAGTTGATCTACTGATCCAATCGTAGGCCTTATAAGGAGAATAAGTGCACCCACTTTTGGCGATCTAACATTCACCTTAACCTTGTTCCAGGTCCTCCTGTTGCATAGCGCATGGATGACTTAAGACCAGGTGGTTCACAGCCACTCACCAGAGTGGAAGCCCTCAAAAATGGAAACTGCCTCATAATTTAGTTCGAAAAACACTTCGATGACAGGATCTACGAGCCTTCATGACTGCCAAAAACCGACAAAGCCCACCTTACTCACTTGCTTACTCGTGCGGTACTATAGAAGGCTTCAACGTACCTGTAAAAATGAAGTCTTGCAGCACAAAAGCACCAATGGCTGACAGACATCGCACCACTTCATGAGACTGGAAATCTTGAATGATGCACCTAAAGAAACCACCACTGGTAGGACGACTCCGTTGTCGTATTGACCAATCAGCACCACAACGAGAACTGTCAAAACCCTCTCAAAAAAGTTTTCCCCTAAATATTTTGCATTTAGTCTTGGCAATGCTTGGTTGAATAGGCGTATACATACTCGCCAATCTGTAGGCTTGAAAATAATCCGCACGCTTCAATTAGCTTGAACATGACCGATAAAAAGATGGAGGGCACAATTAGCAGGATCCCTCACGAGACGCAACAAGAATAACGGTTGAACAACATGACGCAGCGGACCTCAGAATCACCACGCATTCAATGAAGGGGAATTCGCATCTCCCACAATGTCAAAACTCCACGATTGACTAAATTTGGTGCACTTCACCACCCACCTACAAAGATCCTCCAGGGGGGCAAACGCAGTCATGCTAAAACTCCCACCAGTGCCCGTTAATAATGGCGCAGAAAAATTGTACTAAGAAGTAACATGGGAGGAAATACATTATAAACGTACAGAAAAGGTGGTAGGTTACTGGAACGGATCAAGCCCAACACTGCGGAGCAGAAATACGGGATTTGGAGACTCGAGTGTTTGTGTAATTCAACACACAATTAGATAAGATACCAAATCACTACAGTTCTTTAATTAACATTACCGTCTGCAAGTTAATTACTACACCAGCAATGGCTTGCCAGCCTTATCCACTAATGACAAAAAAAGGGAAGCACAACTTTGGGACCTGATTATGCAATTGAATAACAATAATGATTTAGGTAAAAAATCGACAAAGACAGACAAAAGGACAAAATCGGTGCGCTGTAAGGAATAATAAAAAAGTAGATTGCCGCTCAATAATTTGAGCCCAAAAACGACAAAAATTATAAAACCTGGTTGTCGATCGGCATTAGAAAAGAAAACATAAAATCGAATGTTGTCGGGAATTAGAAATATCTCAATAGATCTCCAGCGGCAGCGACCCTGTGGCTATGGACTCCATGGCAAGGTAAAGCCACATGAACTCGAACATGCCAAATATTATCATCGTCTTCAACCTGCAAAATCAGTTAATCCAAAGCTATTTCGCGGCACCTTGAGGAAGTGGTTAGTTCCGTTGACAATCTGCCGGCTGACTTCGGTGATCTTAACCACGGAGGGTTCTTGACCAAGCTGTTTAGTTAAATAATCTTTTACAACAGGTGTGAGGTGCTGCTTGTCCTCATCAGATGGCTGTACAGAAGCCGACAAACCACTACACACCGGCATGGTCGAAAGCCAACAAAAGCACCATCCAGAATATGCCGCTCCATGAAAGCCGACTCCAACAATCTTTCAGTAAGTAAATTTATAAAACTAGCATATCTCATTAAATTTACCTCACTAAAGGTGTGTTAAAGCAAAAAATCTTTCAAATGGGATTATTTGTTTACGTTTGTCACCACGTGCGGTCATTTTGGCTTTATCGGAGAAAAAATATTTGGAACAAAACTTATTTTATACTCATTTTAACTGCTTGAACCAAAGTTGCTTACCTACTACTTTGTTAAAATTGATACTCACGTTTTAAGTTGTTGACAAATATTTTGCTTACTAAATCTGTGTACCAGTGAACAAGCATGTATTTCGAAATGAATTTTTTTTTAAATATTATGCTCTAATGATCTTCATTTTAATAAGTGGGTCAAGGGTTTGATTTTGTATATTAAGATTACCCACATTTCCGTAGCAATTAAAGGCAACTCAGCTCTGTGACTTTAGGTCATGGATTACCGTACTTTGTCGTATTCTTAATTAGGGCGCATCAAGCCGGCAACGCCTAAGTCTATTCTGGCTTTACTTACAATTCTAGAGAACCAAAGCCGTTCTCCTTTCCTTATTTGAGAGTCATCGTAGTCTTAAGCACCATGTCGAAGAGAAGCACTTGGGCGATCATAAATGATTAATAGATATAAGTACGGAAGCATAGCACATTAATAAAATTTTTGATGGTGTGAATAATTGCCCCTTTCTCAGTCTCCAGTCAGTCATCAGGGTGTAAACCCATTTTCTCGCCGCTATCGACAAATCCATTAGCTTCAAGACTTCATCTGTGCACTCCCCCACTGCAGAATGGCTTATTGCAACACCGGCAAAGAGTCGACAGACTACTGCCTAACCCACCGCTACAACTAAAATTAATATCACTAGTGAAGTTTAAATTGGGTGCATAATATTTAACAAATGTGTTTAGCTGAAGACTTGCTGAAACTTGTTTTCTAAACCACAATTAGTTTTAATTCTAGTAATTTCAGAAATAGCAAAGGCAGACATTCCTGTCGGTGTACTTTTGCCTAACACATTAGTAGATGAGAAACTGTGGCCCTATTAAAGGAAATTGTAGGTGCCAGCATGTCCCAAGCTTAAAGCTTTGGGCTTTGGACTCCAAGTAATTCTGGCCTGATTGTCCACCACAGCTGTGTGCTTATTGAATAGTTTCTGTATGACAGGCATTTGTGACAGGACTTGACATTTTCACCGAGCTTCTACCCTTACCTTGCTTCTAATATGACGTTAAATGTGGCATCTTACATGGAAGAGGTATGAGGCAACTTACATTTGGGCCATTTCTTCAGTACATGAATGTCGCATTGGGTTATTAAGACATGCTTGTCATACGTTTGATTAATACATTACTTTTTGCTTCAGTCGTGCAAACATAAGATAATTAGATCCATTAGATCCACTTTAAGCAGTGCCGACATGTGGATCAAGCCCCATGTCCTCCTTCGACACCACGTTTTGACGTTTGAACCACATCAGAAGTAGGATTTAACCAATTCCCTTTTAATAAAAAATTAAGATATGCAGTACAACTGCGACTGCTTTAACCAAAGTTCTCCAAAAATTAGAATAATTTTTCTCTTAAAGTCTACGAAAACCAAAAGTTAGAGGAATTTTTAAAAAAGAAAAGAGGAACACATCTGAATGAGCTTCAATTCCTTCAATTTAGGATTTCATACTCGGATTTTGTTAATTACAATCTTCACTTAAAAAAATTTTGGGTTTTATACATTTTGCTAAGTCTAGTTTTAGTTAATTAGAGTCTGCGTTTACTTAACTCCGTTTGTGACCATGCGGGCACTTAAGCCTCGGCAAATGTATCTCCCCTCGTTGGGGCGGCTTTTGGTCATTCCTGCAGACACTCAGTCTTTCTGTACTTTGGTCTCGTCTTTTGTGCCCTGGCTCTGCGACTTCTTATTACTTAAGGGAAGACCTGTAATAAAACAATCGTGGCGTGGAAAATGGTTTTTACTACCCAAGGAAATATTTTCATTTGACTCAGTTATCATAACAAGCATAAGCCTGTCTCTTCTCTTTTAATGTTTTTTCTTCCTCCTCTGATTTCAGGCCCCTAGATGGAAGAGACTGGGCAAGAGGAAGCACCATGTACTACCACAGCAGGTGTAGGTTTAGGGGTTAATGAATTTTGTACGAAATCAGAGTTTGCATACTCTTTGGGAATCTGTGGCATTCGCTTGGCTGTGGAGTTTATGTGAGGCTGGCTACTTGTCATCTAAATGTTGTGCTTGAACAATCATGTATTACATTTAGTTGTTGGCCCACTGATGGTGCATAAAGCTGTGGCGGCAGTCCGTAAAAATGAAATATCAGTAGCCAGCATTCAAAAGAGCGTTTAAATGGTTAATTTCGTAGCAATGACAGCAAGGCAACAGCCAAAGACAACTCGCATGGCGCTTCTGATTTTGTAGCTTTTAAAGTATAGGTGAAATATCATTCTGAGTGTTTGGTCTGGATGCAAACTACTGCTTTTTGCTCCAGGGTACAATTATCATGCCACACGCTAGTCGTTTGTTCGCCGTCAGCAACCAACTAGTATGTGTACTCTAAACTCTGTAGCAGATTCGACCCTTGTCGCTTCTGCCTCGGCCTTTATCCTCCGGAACGAGTGGACAGATTAAGTGAGAATATTTCTTATTGGTAACATGCAAACTAAAGGGCATAATAACGTTTTCAACCGAACGAGGAATGATATAAAACCCACTTTTGTTCTTTCTTCCAAAGAAATTGTACTAGGAACCCGTTTTTACAAGAGAAATTATGAATGTGACCTTAATAAAATACTTTTATCAATAATCTTGCTAGTATTTTGCAAAGTGCCTTATCAGAAGCTTGTACCACTTAGCAGAGAAAGTGTTTTATAATGCTTTAAAGTCTTTTCCCTTCTTATTAGTCATTTTTGATTCGCAAAAGTGAAGAATGTATTTGTGTGCATTTAAGGGAAGATTTACCACAGAGCAGACATCACACATCGAAGTTCCCAAAAGGATTATTAATTGTTCAAGTTCGATCGGCTTTCGAGTCCAAATCTGTGAAAGTGATCTTCGACTCTGATGCAATAACTCTGTCACCATATTTCGAAAAACACATCGAATGTCGTACAAAGGACACGGTCATTATGGGGGAAGATTTGTGTCAGGAAACTGAAGACAATAATCTTTGTACATAATTGGGACACAATGAACAAATCCGTTTCCGTATCACCTTCCAAATTTTATAAAATTCTTAAACGGGAGAGGTAGGCCGGCGTTGCTACCAGTGTAATAGGTTCTACCTTTATCGTTTCCACCTCAGCTACATTGCCATAAACCAAGTGGTCTCTTTAGATGCAGGTATTTTCTTACTGTTGTACAAAAAGAAGAAGGGCGCAGTAGCCAAAAGTATTCTTGTTCAGAGAACCTTTTTCTCCTCATGGCCATATGATGACCATCCCCAACTGCAATTCGCCGAAGAGATTTATTCAAAGTTGCATTACAGCCGCAAGTTAATTTATAAGCTCATTCGTAATAGTTTTTATCCTTTATAAAGTTCTTTGCTATACCAAAACAATTTTCTAGAATAAACATCTTGATGCAGTGAAGTAGGTGGTTAGAACTGGTGATTAGAAGTGACGTTGGTTTGCGGGAAATTATCCCTTCATGACTTGGTAAACAGTCATGGCTGTTTCTGATGCAGGGGAGACTTCCTAGTGTACCCTCAAGTTGTATCAAGCAGACCCTTTTAATTTATAGTTACATTGTGTTCAAACTGAAATTCGTAATTAGTGCTTTTGTCTACAGTGCATCAAATCTCAAGCAGGTTGAGGTGTGGATTATTGTTTGGGGCTGATCAAAGATAGGATCGTTTACTTAATGAACGTCGTAAAAGTTACTTCTTGCTACAAGTCATTCTGTCATCAAACAGCCTAAGGCCTTCTGTCCATCATCTATCAATTTTATTGCACATAGAGGCAAATTTTCCTACTCACTCACAAGACGCAGAAGGAAAACAACTGGATTAACAATTCCATGAAAAGAAGCCTCTGTTGATGCCTTTTCCATGTCAATTTCGAATTGCCTGAATCAGTCGAGACACATTACTCTCTCAGTTTTGAAAAATAAAAAAATCAATGGTCGGTAAGGCCTCTCCTCTTTTGCAAAAAATGTCCAAGTAATTTGAACAGACCAGCAAGGCAGGCCCTTGCCACCTTCTCTCAAAACAGTGGTTTTGAGGTCAAATCTGTTCACATGAGCGCACCTTGCCAACAGCGCGAATGCCAGTCAAGGAATGAAGCTCTTCGACGTGAACAGTAGGCCCAAATCTTGTCACCAAATCATCACATTCAGTCGCTGCTTTGCCGCAACGCACCATGGCACTCGTTTGTCCTGTCTGCTTCCACCACTTTGGGTACCATCGTCAACTTCGAGTTCATTTTGAAGCAGCGCACACAGGCATGTACTTTCAAATGCCTTGATCGACGACACGCATTCATTTGTCCCTCCACTTGCGAGTATTCTTCATGCATTTGGGTGGAATGCTCGAACACTTTTAATATTAAGTGCTGTTAAATACTGCTTTAAGTAGAGTTACCATGAAAGTAATGCATCTTCTTCCCTCATAGAATTAGGACGATTCGTGTGCCTTTCGTGCAGAACCAGCTACCGGTCCTTCTGTTGCCTCCAAGGTCATCGGGATGAATATCACGATGGCAAGTCAACTCACCTTTCCAAATTTTGGTATAAGTATATGCAATCGTAAAACATACATACCATTCTACCAAGTTGGAAATTCTATTCTAAAATTTGGAAGATGCATCGACTTTCAAAATGGATAAATTATTCTTTTCTTTGATCATTCGAGATCTACGAAGACAAGCCTCTGTGGAAACAGCGATGTGTTGGTTGCTTTGTAGGGCTGCAGAGTTGGCTGAATGGTGAATTGCCCACATTGAAAGACTACTACTTCAGTCCGTTTGTGGAGTCGCAGCAAATGGGTGCGTTGATCTTGCTTTGCAATGCAATTGCAGCAGACTGTCTGCCTAATCGCACTGCCTCTTGGCAGAATTTCAGGCTGCCTCTTCTAGACCCAAGTCCTATCCCAACACACTTGCACTCACATTTGGTACATAGTCCGTGCATTTATTCTTTGTCTTAGGAACATGATTTTCCCACTTTGATGTGTTTCCTTCCTCCTCTCAGATCATGTTTTTATCCCCACTTGCGAATACTGTAGTAGATCTGACTGTTGCAATGAATTTTTACTGAAGGTCATGGGAGGTAAATTCGCCTGACGGAATGAGATGCCAATCCTGGATGCGTCCTTGTAAAATAATAATGAGGTGTTTGATTTCATCTGCAGGTGATGATGCCGCGTTATATAAGTATTTAAAATCGTCATGCCTAGACCAGTCTGCTGTGGACAATTACCTCTTCATCTCGTTAAGGTGTGGAGGCAGCGGACGGTGATATTATGAAGGGCGCCAAGATTGTTTATACCAAATCGGCATTTGAAGCACTATAGCATAAAATGAGATCATTAAATGATTTATCAGAAAGGGTTTATTTGTTCCTCCACCCTTTATCTAATAAGAAGGAGGCACAGTATTAATCTCCCCTCTGTGAGGATAATTGAGGTGCGTGGATCTAAATATATCAGCTAGTGGATAAAATGAGAGGCACTGGTTCATAAGAAATGAAGTGTTAGACAATTCCTCAGCACTTTTGTGTCTATTCCTTTGAATAAATTTGCTGCGATGTGTAGGAACGTGTCAAAGTCTATTCTAGCATTTGGATGGCCTACATAAAATGGATGGGATACAGTGAGTTTATTGTGCTGCATCACGATTATATCACTCTTTATAACGCCTCTTCAATGTCCACTAAACTACATTTTAGGGTTTTCTGCTTTACGACTTTGTCGTTGGATCCAAAGTCTGGGGAAGCACCTGGTGGCGCTTGTTACAGGAAGTTTGGAGAAGATGCAACAGTAGGATTTAGTGACAGCATCTTCATGAGACCACGCTCGCTTTCCTTTGAAGGAGTGTGGATTAACTTCCCTTACTTTAGAAACAGTAGAGACTAGTAAATAAGTGGGATGAAAGTCTAATTCCGACGAGGCAATCCAGTTCCTCTCACTGCAAAATTTTCCCATTACAAGTTTCGTTGCTTGAGGCAGGGGGGTGACATCCTGCCACATTCTCATTCATCACTTCCTGCTTCCTATTCCCCTCACTTTGCCTTCTCTATAAGCTCAACTATTTTCCTTGGCATTAACGTCAGATGGTCCCATGGGAGGCAGAGGAGGCACTTAGGAGATGTCCAGGCCCAAATTTCCCTACTTTGTTTGTGTCTTGATGAGAAATGACTGGGAATTATTTGTTTGCACAAGCCCTACATTACTTGATTGTGCATTCTTCTTTTTATAGGCAAAAAAATCTACCAGTAGGACGGTGATGAAGTGATATCTTTTCTTGTGATGTCAAGAGCCCATTCGATGTCGCATCTTCACTGACTCCTCAGATCAACAAATGTGCCCATTTGAGGTGCGATATAACCTTCTTACTATCCTGGAGCTGGAGAAAAGTACGAAGTTATAACAAAAGACAAAATACAGCTGGAATTCAAAAGTTCACCATGAAGATAGACCCAGGAAGTGTTTAGGCAAATGGAGAATGACCATGCGGAATTGAGCTGCACGCTGGCGCAATGGATGGGATATTTCATCAATGCTAAAGAAAAATCGTTTTCTTTGATTTTGAAGTACCTTAGAAAGGCGTGTTTCATTTGGTCTGCGGTGAGGCCCTCGAGTCATGCAAGTGGTCTCCCGCCTCTACTGTGGCTTAGTAAGTAGTATGTTCTCCGATGTTGCATTGCCTTGTTACAACCTCGGAAAAGACTGTGGGAGGCTACAGTTGAGTCACTCAAAACAAAATTACATATTCACATTGATTTTAAGAACATAACCAGTAAATTTTATTGGGTTGGCAGAAATGCTTGCAAGTGAAAAAAGTTGACTTTTATGTGTGCACATGCAAAGCATCTCCAATTCATCCAAATGCCGAGGTTCTAATCCATTTTCCCATATTACTTAAACAAACGACAACATCAGTAAACACTCATTTTCCTAAACAGCGGAAGACACAATACGTGGAACGAAGTGGGTGGATCATGAGATACTTGAAGGACATTCAATTGACGATGATGAGTCCATCTTTAGTGGACATCACTTCCGCTAACGATGACCCGCACAAATGCAATTCATGTAAGTCAACACAAATTCTCGAATGATCGCAATTCAGTGAAGCGGAATTTTGAAGACGAAAATCGCAAAAGAAGGCTATGGGGGGCAACTCTCTTAAGAAGCAAGGAGGGGCTACTTATAAGGCCGAGGTTTGTTCCACTCCTACGTAGTCAACCGCTAGAGGTAGTTACCATTCGTGATTTCTATTGCCACCTTGGTGTCGTGGCCTCTGTCCATCTCTCCTCGATTCTCCCTATGCTGATGATAGTCACCTACCTGGGGTTCACATTTGTAAGCCCATCTCTCAATATCACTGAGCCTTCCACGAAACAAGGCAACATGCACTCTAATTTCTCCAAAGCACCAAAAGCATGAGTGAGTTGTTGCGAAGTAGATTATTACAGGAAGTATAACCAGTAACCAGTGAAGATCGGGCCATCTAGTCCATTTATGTAAAGGGTCTGGAAGGAAGTCGTTATTCATTTGCCTCGTTTTTTTGCACTAAACAACTATTTTGGGGCTCATGAATGGACATTGAAAGATTGTTCCTTACTGGCGCACGTCTCTGTATAGTGTATATAACAGAATTGCCACAAATACCCTGCGAGGACTTAAGCAAAGTGTCCGTCAACGAAACCTGCCTCAATAGCTGATTTACAAGTGGAAGGGTTGTGTAAACCCCTAAACTTAGCCTTCGCTGCAGCCCACCTAAAAGAAAGGTAGGAAGGAAAAGGGATGATAGAAGCGAAGGAATTAACTCAGAAGTGATCGGAACTAACTGAACAGTGGACTGGAGGTGTTGGCAGTACTATAATAGTGAAAAAGGAGGAGAGGGCTAGTGTATGGACATACCTCAGCCTTGCTGACAGTGTGATGATGGTAAGGAAAAATTAGTAATGTACCATTGTGAAACTGTGTAGTGTACTGTATATGAAAGGTATTATTTAATGTTATATTCATACTAGAAATCCTTTCCGATGACTGGAGAGGGCCGCTGCTATCTTTATATCTGCCAAAGGATCTCAAGTTACTCATCATTTTCGATAAAAACCCAAATCCAAACAGGAAAAATTCTACCATATCATAGTGGTATTTATTGTAATTTGGCCTTCCCAATCTATCACGTTTGAGCTAGCTCGACCGTGATATGGGCAGTGGGCACTGGGCAGTGTGCCACGGTAGTGCAAATGCTAGAAGCGAATGCACGTTGACATCCTCCGAGAAATGGGTTGGGTCTTGACACATGCAGACTTACCTTAACTTTAATTTAGCCTATTCGAGCGCTGTAAAATAGTTCACTTATAATGAAACAGTAGGCCTACGGTTATCATCAACGCTGACGTACAGAGAAAAGCCTACATTCAGTGGGGCCAGGCAATGAGAGGGAATTGTGTCTACCCCAAAGTAGAGGTGGCTATGATTGTAGAGATCGTAGTTATACCCGAACGCTATCCCCTTCGTTTCACCCTCAAAAATGGGGTTTGAGGCAGTGAACTCCTGTGTGTGCCTGCTCCGCGTAAATTTAGAGTACCAAGTATTGACAGGGGATAGTACGATGACTGAGATAGGACATAATTGCAAGTAATTTATGTCTTTGCATCACTTCCAAACAGGCCTACATCCATCAGTAATGATTCAACTTTTGATGGTTTACAATCCGCATAGCTAATTTTCATTTTTTAGTGCGTGGAATACGTAGTTGGATGGGTGGATGGTGGGTATGAACTAATTATATGGATGGATGTGGGAGGGACAAGGGATGGGTAGATGGATGGATGGATGCGGGATGTATGGAAGGATACGCAATGCATAGAGATGCGGATGGGTGGAATTGGAGCTGCTGGATGTACTTATGGATATTGAATATAGGGATGGATATAAATGGAATGGGTGGATGTGTGGATAGGTACGGTATATACGAGAAATGGAATGTAAGACATTGGGATGGATAGAAAGGAGCTTTATCCGTTTGTGTAATGAGGTGGAGTGAGAACGAAGATTTACTAATGCCGATGGGCCTTGACGTAATTTTATCTAACATTTAATTGCACCAATTGTAAGCCTTGTGATGGTCGTTCCCATTGCCGTGGACGCCCTGCGCATTACTTAAGCAACTTGTTTAGGTTACCGTGGCAGTTCTGCCAAAATACGTCTTGTTTTATTGTTGGAAGATCTGAAAGAAGAGGCGAATCGTAGTACCGGAACAAGGACGTGTCAGAGCGCACAAATAAAAAAATCTGAAAAAGCTGAATCGTATGAGGTGAAATATGGCAAACAATAGCGCACACCCGATAGTGGCGTGACAATCGCCATAGGTGGATACTTGACTTGACATCTCAAGTACCAATCTCGTAATGTTAAGCGCACATTAGGTCTGGAATATTCCAGAAGCACTAATCAATCATGCACACCATTGATAAAGCAAATAGCAATGAGGAGAGGTTTAAATAATGTACTGTTAGTAAGCACACCAGGAATAGGTGAACTACTTGTAACACTCTCCGTCTCATTGATACAGTCATCCTGCAGTTAGACTGGCTTTCGTCACTGAGTGATGGACTTCAATTCACATATCAAGTGACAACATACTGAAACTCTGATTCGTTCCAGGAGAAGTAGTTCTTTCCCATCTCCTTTTTGCCAATTCCTTCTTGATTTGGAAAGAATAAGCTTATGAATCAAATCTGAACCTTATGCTTTCCAATTATTCCTTTTTAATTAGAGCAAGTTTAAGGAACTGCAATGTGGTAAGCACACCTCTTGATGAAGTACCGATATATTATTCATTTTCGAAGGCGTGCACCGCACCCATTCAAGTGTCGTATTCTCAGGATGAATGTGTCGATCAAGGCTCCTTGGAAGTCGTATTATCAGGAGAGCGATCTTAGACGATGGGAATGAATTGCCCCATAGAATATGAGCACTGTCAAAAACGAACTTCTAGCCTTTAATGATGGTCCTGTTTACTGAAGATGTTACTTCTATTATGCACACTTCGCCCAGTCGTGATCTCCTTATTCAAGCAGTAACTTCGGTACTTTCCATGTTGACATTGTCGATTCCACACTTGCCATGGAAGACAGTGAGTAAGATCACCAAAGCGTGGCAGAGCGAATCTACAACCTTGACTAAATGAGCATCAACTTCATGAATTAACGGTAGATGTAGTTGTTATCACGATGACCACATTCGTTTACACAACTTTTCCCATTCCCTTCACTTCAGAGATAATTATTTTTGGGGCATTCAAGGTGATATTTTTTGGGTCATGCGGAGGACTTCACACTACCAGGTTTAACTCATCCCCCGCTCTGAGCCTCTCCGACCCTGTCGCACTACTGAGCTTTGGGTGTTGCATACAGCATTGATTACAGAAGCACATCAGTTGTACTTCCCAACTTTTACAAAAAGGAAAATAATATGATGCATTCTCTCACACTTGTTGAGTCACTCCTGTTGCAAGCTGCTTTTCCTCCCAGGCTTGAAGCGGTGCGCCCAAGACATGGAAGTGAACTGAGGAAACGTTGATTGAACGTGGCTTTGCGAAGTATTGCTGCAGATTTGCCATGATTTGTGAAGACTACGTCAAGGTGGAATAATCTCTTTCCAAAAAGGCTTGTGTTAGGGTTCAATAGCGCACCTACATTTTTGGTGATTTTATTTAGGCATCTTGATTCATCAGCAAGAACATTACGATGAAACAACTTTCTTTATTCACTGTAATCTGGAAGGATTTTGAATTGTTAATTAAGTGGCAGCACCGGTAAAACAGGCGCTGAGGATGATGAAATGCTTTTTCTCTTAAAAGTTTGCTTATCAGTTCCTTTCTGTGCGTCTGAAGTTACGATTTAGATCGGCAAACCAATGTATCTTAAAGGATTTTGTGTGGACATTCAGTGTTACCAGTGGACAAGCTTCAATGCAGCCTTACTTCCCCTTTGTTTGTGCCTTGAAATGACCATCAGCAGTCGCTGAATTCAAAAGGCTGCGTAAGCTGAATGAATTACCCATCATTTTCCACCCTTCATGACTCAACAATGCAGACGTGTGTGAATGTGAAAAATTTTGTGGCGGCGGCTTCACCGCTTGATAGGCTTAGCAGAACGTAAGACGAGGACCAAAATCCTTTTATTGCAGCTCATGTATAAATGCGACAAGAGGAATTTGTGCCTCCAACCACGCACACTTCACATTACCCAAGGACTAACTGATTTGGATGACTGCATTTTCAGTTCTTGGACGAAAAACAATTCTCGCCTTCAGTGATTTTCGAAAATCATTTTTAAACGATAAAATGAGGGTTTGCAAATATATCGGCTGTGTGGTCCATCTAGAAGTCACTTAACTAGGTGAACAGTTTTGAAGGAAACCATCTAACCGCGCAAAATCCAGTTGCATGAATGCTGTCTTCGTTAAT